ATACTGGTATTCAATTTAGTTAAAATACAAAATTAGCTGTTGACTGTATTTGCATGTAGGCATGTAGCAGTGGTAAGAAGTGTGTTGTGTGATAATATGTGGTATAGATATAGATAGGTACCTGGTATAATATATTAGTATATTACAAACATTTTTGCTTTTACCACATAGTTACTACTATAAAACTTTTTAAGGTAGGTATAAGTGTATAACTATAGTCTATAGGTAAACTAAAAGTTACCTACCACATAAACAATAATTGTTTAATTAAAAAAAAATTATTTAACATGACATCTCAATGGGGAGGGGGAGGGAGAATAGCAGCTCGAAACCAGTGTCCAGTTAAACATTATTGACTATTGTACTTAATAAAGATATTCAGTATTCACTATTCAGTATTCACCACGTCAGTCGTCAAATACCAATGTTCACGTACATAGGGGCCACGTACCTACCTATGTATCTATTGTATGCGTAGTCGCGTGGATGCCTACATACTTAATAATACTTTGCATGTGTTTTAAATCATAATAAGATATTAAGATGATAGTACATTAGTACCTATAGGTATATTCTCTGCCGTCTAAGCGTCAAGCTTGTTTACTTTACGAGAATTCATGACTCAACTCGTAAGACACATTGGCGAAGAAACTCAAAAACCGGCATGTGCAATATGCCTACATAGCCTAACGATGTAATTTCGTCATTTCGAGTTTAGCTGGATGAATTGTAAAATACTAAAAAAAATTGGAGACGAGACACTATAAAATTATGCAGGTGTACAACAGTGTCATCATTATTAACTATTGCCAATAATTAATATTGCACCGTCGTGATAATACTCCAGTAGTCCAGTATCCGACCATCGAAATAATAATATTATAGGTGGGTACTATAATATTTTTTTAAACATTACATCGTGTCGTATTCAGCTAACGTAGGACTTTCATACTCGCCGCCACGTTTACGTAAAACACAACGAGCCTTTCACCGAGACGACGGCGGAGGCGTTACGTCGGTCGAGAAATCACGTTACTGCCCGCCTGCCGTCGCCAACAACCGACAACGTCGCATAGGTCGCAATCGTTGGTGGCGGGGTGGAGGGGTGGTCGGCGGTGTAGCAATGCTGAAAGTACGCCACTGACGAACAGCGGCGGCGGCGGCTGCTGCAGCTGCTGATACACAACGAGTAGCGAGCGGCAGCGCCAGCCTCTCACTTTTTGGTTTTTTACCACCCGCCCGCACAGCAACAGTGCTAAGTGCCATCACAGTGCCATTGTTTACGGAATCAGAAGTTGTGAAGTGGAGGGGGACACCACCGCCACCAGGCTACCGATCGGCACTATTGTTGGCGGGGGGGTGGGGTGGTCGCTGCTATGAGATAGGTGGCGGGTGGCACACTGGCACCGAGTAACCACTATACCACCTCCACTTACGAGCCACGACCAGCGGCCTACGGTCCGTGTTTTTGTTGTTGTACGACTATCGCGGTGGTGCCGCTTCCCTCAGTCGTTCTCGAATTTTCATCCGCTGCGTTTGTGCCAGTGGCGACGCGCCCCGTCCGCATCGCATTGTGTCTATTGTTTATTCGTTATTAAATTATTATTTGTATCGTTTCCGCCGTCCTCGAAAGACGGCCGAGACGACATTTGTATATTTTTGCACGTAGGCATTCACGAAACTAGCGCGCGTTTGTCGACGGAGAAACTATACGTAAATAATTATATATTATTATTATTGCATTATCATTAATTGGCGTCGTTGCCACTATAATATAATATTATTATAATACCGACTGCGTCCCGTCGCCTATACCTATTGTTGTGACATCGCTATTGCTGTTCCGGCGATTTTCTTTCGTTCGTCTCGAGTGCGACAAGGAAACGGAAGAAAAAAACATTTTTCGCTCGTCAGTGCGGTACCGTATAATAGTGTTATATTATTATCGTCATCATAATAACAGTGTGTTTGTGCGTCGTTGTTCGGTTCCATTCGATTTCGCCAGCGAACGAGCACACCCGCCCGCAGAACACACACGTCAGGCCGCGGCCCGTGCTGCCCATACGTGCTGTGCGTGCGTGCGCGACGAACGCCTTCCTGATCGCGGCTCAGAGAATATCCCGTCGACGTTACCAGAGACGACGACGACGTACGCCGCCGATAGGTAAGCGATTGCTTCTTTTCGTCTGTGGTAAGCGGGGGTGGGGGGGATGTAGCTGCTAACCGAAGACCGATGCTCAAATCGTCCATCCGTGTCGTTTCGATCGGGTGCGTTTACTGTTGAAGGGGGGGGGGAGGCTTGTGAGAGAGTAGGGCAATGGCGGATCGAGGAGTGCATTTTTTTTATCGTGTCCAGCGGGGATTCCATGGCAAGTACCTATCCTACCTACCCATTGTGCTCTGCCCAGTCACTTAGTTATTACTATTACTATTACCGTTATTGTGACTGTCGACGTTCCATTTGCAGGCAAAGTTATCTGTGATCATTATTCATTATAACACTCGTTATAATATTATAAATTTTCGTGTCCTATTTGCATCTTAGATATCGCGTAGGCGAGCACCGCTACGAGCATCGAGTGTCGCAGGTACTGATTATGGTCGACTAAGTATCTTATAATTTTAAATTTATTTTTATTTTTACGTAATTAGGTGACTGTACAATTAATGCAAATCTTTGTTTGGGGCTTGTCCAACCTTTGTTTGATTACCTATACAAATTTAAGATTTGACATATTTTTTCGTTGTTCATACTCGGGGTACCTACAACCTATATAGGTAGCAGTGGCCACCTAATTAAAACCTACCTGCAAAAATATCGATATAACATAATGAATTCTGTAATAAATATAAATAAATAGCATTATTAAAAATGAGGTATATTTTTACTTTGCCGGGTACCCTTTTTTTTGCAATTATTTTTTTTGAAACTTATGTAGTTAAGTATACCGTAAACGATGTTGAAGTCAGAATTTGGCTCTCGTACTTGGTTTTGAAGTTATGGCCTAATGAGGTTCACTATTTTGTGATTTTTACGCATTCGAGCATCACACTAGGTAGTTTACTACGACTATTTCCAATATTGATATTTTTTTTTTTCGATGAGTGACGCATAACGTACCCTGTGACCTACTTGAGCTGGTGTTGCACACCAAGTCAAGGAATATTTAAGATTAGCGGAGCGAAGCGACGGCGCCGAGGAGCGTAGTGACGGGTGCCGCAAAACATGTAATCACTGCCCACACTACGACATAACCACGCTGGCAATAAATATACTTTAAAAACAATATACTTAAAATCCTAAGTTCACCCTAGGTGGTTTACACAGCAAATAGGGGGATATTTTAGATTTTAATATCCGAGCTTGTTAGGGGCCACACTGGCAATAAATGTACTTAGAACAATATTTTTGAAAACATAAGTTCACCTGAGGTGAATGAGTAAAAATCGCAAAATAGTGAACTTCATTAGGCCAAGAGCGAGGCCAAGAGCCAAATTCTGACTTCACCATAATTTTCAGCGTACTTAACTACATTGGTTACAAAAAAATAAAATTGCAAAAAAATGGGTGCCCGGTAAAGTAGAAAAGTTCGGGTATTAAGACCTCGATTAAGACATTTTGTTATTTTAAACTGTGGGCTAACCATTGATTACCTACAATCGTGTATAGTCCCATATCGCTTGTTATGGGTTCTATTTTCTTGGAAATTGTATATAGGGCCTGCAATAACATTTAGTACAGGAACTCAAAATTTAATGTGAGGTAGGTACCTGATTGGACTCACTTTGGGACCAATATATAAGACCATTACCTAACCAAATGATTCAATATTTCAATTAAGTAAAACTCAGCGAAAGGTCCAATGTGATGATTCCAGTAGACAATTTTTTTTCTATGTGTTAGTATACATGAAAATCGGGACCAGGGTGTTTCAGCCCAATAAGATAATGAGTCCATTAACTATAAGTCCAATAAGAGGCAACTACTGAGTTTGCCAAAATCTTATTCTAAAGTTATCTCCTTTGTTTTACTATTATTCATACAACAATCATAAAATTTCGACTTACCTACCTATGTCAGCAAAATTTAAAGAAATGATTTTTCTGAAAATTTCATAATATCAGAAAATAGTAAAATAATAGGAACTGGTCAGTATTGGACATTTGTACTTGAATGAGATGCTATATATTATGTACCTACCTAAGTACTATACTCGTGTATCATCATAGTTAATTGTAAAATATTTACCAATGTTTTTAGGTACCTTTAATTTCTAGTGGAAACATTTGTGTAAACACTGTTTATTATCAAGTGACTATTATAGGTACTGAACAATTAACCATTTTTATAATACAATATTGCTCTATATTTCTTTTGCGCAAACAAAAAAAAAATACAGATAAAAACTTGATCCCTATCTATTATTAATCATTGTTGTATCTTGTTTATTTTACAATAGATTAATTTTAATAATTATTTGACTATAATGAATAAAAACAAAAACAATTTTGTTTATCTTGGTGCCTACCTAAATAGATAGGTACTGATGTATGCCATGAATCAATTTTAATTGACTGATTAAAGGCGTAGACCAATTAATCAGATTATTTAAGAACAATATACGTATATTCAAAATTAATAACAAATAAATACTTAAATATAAATAATACAAACTATAGAATCAGATGTGAGACGGTATATTTACAAGCTCTGAACAGAACTGTTCGTCTTGTCTTATTACAAGGTACTATTAGTTTTCTTAATTACATAAACGCGGGGAATAATTTTGATTGTTGTACCATAACAATTTGTTGTTGTGATGTCAGCTCTCCTTTAATTACATACAAGCTGTGGTATTCGATTTTTAATTGCATACATTAAAAAACTTACTTATAACCTAATTCTTTTTTTTTGTGTAAAAAATGATATTAATATTATAATATTTTTTTTATGTAGGTTGACATTGCTCATTAAGTATTATTTAATGCAAATCATAAACATGTACAAACCAATTCGTCCAAGGAGAAACAGCTTACCAAGCAATGTACATAGAAGTAAAACAAAAAATGTACCTAAACCAGAGTTCAGTCCAACTAAAAATTCTAAAGTGATTCATGAATCAAAGAAACCCAAATCAAAAACGCCTATTTGCGTTAAACAACTAAATTATAATGAATCAAATACAATGAATGTTAGGAAATTTATGGATCATAGTTTGTCGGACGGAGATGAAATTATGGTTGATAAAACAAATTTTCACAAAGTAGCTAAAAATAACCAAGTAATAAAAATGAAAAGACCTCAATTGTTATGCTCACAGCCTATTGACACTCCGAATAAATATCTACCTGAAGTGCCATTACATCACACTCCCCCATCTTACGAATCCCCGCAAAAATATGGTCCTTACAAGAAATTTAAAGAAGATGATATACAGCAATTGGTTATTGAAAAATATGCCCTGCTCAAACAACTTATGAACATCGATGAACGATGCAGCTCACCTAATGGTGATAACTTTTATGCTGGTGCCAAATTCAATAATTGTCCGTCTCCGGGAGATTTACCATTGCCACCAATGCAATGGCTTAACTCTTGTCAAGCACAAGCAAAATCCATGCAAAAATCACCTCTTATCTTCAACATAACTATCTAAGATGTTCTTCAGAATCTAACTTGTGACAAATGTTTTTTTTTTTTCATTATTATTATTATTATTTTATTTTATGTAATAACACTTATTGTGATTTTTTATCACTACAGTGTATTTATTCCCCTCCACCTTACTATATAAATCTAAAATAATAATTGTATGTAATCCCCTTATTTCGTATTCATGATGAACTTGTCTTTTAAATAGTTTCAACATTTTAGTTAAATTCTATACATTATTATGTGTAAATAACTTTTTATTTTATCTTATATTATCAGGCTCTTTTTTTAAACTAAATTTTTAAACTTAAGTATCATAATTATTTAAATGTAAATGTTGTTTTTAATTATTTAATTTTTTTTTTTATTGTTTTTGTGACAAAACTCATCATGGACTGATTGTTGCATCAGTATCTAGTCACTTGTTTAGGTGAACTAAAAGTTAATGCAATACAAATTTTAGTACATAGATAGTTATGAAAATTATTATTTTAAACTGCTATAATATAATTGAATTGAATTGCTGATTGGTTGTAATATTTATAAAAATCAAATCTATGATTAATAAGACAATTTTTATACATACCTAGCTGTATTGTCAATCAATATGTTATGTCAGCAAAACCCACCCCACCCATTATTTAAATTAAAAAAAAAATTATGTTAAGAAAAAATTATTCACTCGTTAATGTGATATTTGTGATACTAATAAAATCAGCGATTCAATTTTTATTTTTGTCAGTAATTGGTAAAATTTGTATTTGAATTAAAAGCTATGAAATGCGAAGAAAATATAACATACCTACATACATATATCAATTCAATCAGATATATGTGGAACTTGTCATCGTCCCTTTAAGAGTTACCTTTTTATTTAATATTTATTCATATTTTAATTTAACTATCAATTTTATAAATAATGAACATGAGCATGTGAAAAAAAAAGTTAAAATAACTGTTACTTCAAATACACTTTTTACCCTTCTCTGATATTATTTAAGTACAATTGTGATACGGAACAATATTATTTTTTTTTAAGGTTTACTTACCATAATTATATTAAACATAGTAAGCCCTTATGTGTGTTGTATCTTGTGAATGTTGTAACTTTTGAAAAGATTAAATTAATGTATAAATGTTTAATAGATAGGTTGTTAAAAAATGCGAATGAATTTCAATTACATGTCAACCTCTCTTAAGTGTTAAATTATTATTGTAGTTCAATATCACAGATTATTGTTAATTAATTATTGTCTATTAAAAACTAACTATTCCACCGACTGTATCAAGTAGAATAGATTTAGTCTCTTTATGTGTTTTAGAGGTTGGTATGCATTTCATATCAAAGATCTTAATACAATCAAAAATGTAAATTGCTATAAGTGACTTTAAAAAAAAAAAAAAATGTAAAACAGCAATATGTTTTTTTATTGTAAACAATACGTGCATCTAGTACTGTATAATATGTTGTCACTTATGCAATATTAATTTTTGGCATAGATTTTTGCTATTAATAATATTGACATACAAAGTGTGTGATTGAAGAAATGGGCACAAACCATATCCCATTGAACTCCTTATGTTGCGCATTAGGCATTAATCAGTTAAGGTAGATCGATAATGAATAATTCTTCAATGTAGTTTTAAGGAACACAGTATGTGTCTGTTTTAGTGGCTATCCTATTATTGTTGATATTATACATATAAGGAATGTGGCCATTGGTGTGATATTACTGTGTTATTTTTTTATGATAAATTATTTTATTATTGTTTTAAAAATATATGTTAAGAATATTAATGTTGAATTGGAATTTTTTTTGTGAGACTGTTACAGTTAAAAAAATTAAGTATTCCAATCCATTATGTGTAAGATGAATCACCAATATTCAAATGTATTTTTATTTACTTAAATTGTTTTACAGATATCTTTACAATTGTTATTAATGTTAAAACATTTAGTAGTGTTTTCTTTTTCAATTAGTGTAATAAGTCCACTCAATACTAATTTTTTTTTTATCAATAACTTTAGGAAAAAATGTAAAAACCAAAAAAAAAAGAAAAAGAAAAAAAAAACCAAAAAAAAAAAATAATAATAATAATAATGAAATACAGCCATTCCTAAGCTGTTAGTATTCCTTATACGATCTCATTCTTATAACAATACTACTACAAGTACACTACATATATTTATTTATTCCTTTCTACATCATAGTTCGTCACCACAACAAAACACATCTTTCTTTAAAACAAAATATCAGCACAAAAAAAACAAAATAAATACAATTTTTCTCTTTAATAAATGTAGTACATTTTTGTATAATTAATAAAACCGTGAATAACATTCCGCCCGACATTCAATTATAAAACCATAATTTATATTATTTAAATTAATTTTTTTCAAGTTTCAAATGGCTGTTCATATTTACTTATATATATTTCTCCTTGTATTGTACCGATTGCAATAATATTTTTTCTGTATAAAACAATTAAAATTATTAAATTGTTATGTATACAATATAAAACTTTTTAAATTAAAACCTTTTTGGATTAATATTCATTGCAGTTATATCGCAAAATGTAAATTTTTTGATTGAATCTGTTTTCCCATTTGTCAGATTAATTTTAGCAAGTTCTCCATTTTCTTCACCAACGTATACTATAAACTCATTTTCTAAACTCCAACATAATCTGGTTATTAGTTTTCGATTAAAAATAATTTTTTGTGGATCTTTCTGTGAATAAATAACATTTACACAATATATTCAAAATTAATAATTTATTTTTACCAACTTGATACACATTGTATAATAGTATTGTAGAATCAAACTGTGTTATGATAAATGTAGTTGAATTTTTGTGACAAAATTGTATATTTTCAATCATTAATGAATATCCATTGTATGTTTTAACTTTTACGGCTTCTATAACTTGATCTTCTGAAACGCACAATTTAATAAAAATGTTGGTTAAAAATTTATCACCGAAAGTACAAAAAATATAAAATGATAAATTATAATAACAAAGCTCTTGCAGCTTCAAGTTCTAGGTAAAAATTATAATAAATAAATTTAATTATATACTTAATATTTTTATACAAATTATTCAAAATTTAAATTTAAATATGAACGTCATCTGTATTCAAATAATAAGTTACTTATACTATACTTATATACATTGCAACTTTTTCTGTTAAATTTAAAATCATCAATAGTCAAGTATATATGTCAAGTTAATGTACTAATTTCTATAATTCAATAAAAAAAAAATTGCACGGTACAAGTTATAATCCTCTGTACTTCTTATAGTGGACTAGGCCTATTGGGGATACCACTTTAAAAAAAACGCATCTGACACACAACCTCATGGGTGGTGTGGAATAGTGTGTAATTAGTAATTAATAATTTATAATTATACTCTGGGTCATGAGAGAATGCATCTTGCATGCCCATCCAAATTACGGTGCTCCGTCGTCTCTAGGCCAAATTTCCCCCTCCATGTGGCCACTGGTCTATGGTACACACCTGCCGCCAAAACCGGCGCTTTCCGAAAAATGAGTTTTTGGTCTACCGCCGGGTGCATTCTATCGTGGCCCAGAGTATACTATGACGTACCTTTAATGTTTCTTGTTGTTTCGCATAAGTGGCTAGAGATTTTTCCGTTTTCCAGAGCTACTAAAAAATGTCTGTTTGAATAATCAAAACACCGAATACCAACTTTCCCTGGAATCCCAACTAAATACCTAAATACGTCATGTAGTTAGATGTTTATTATTCATTATAATATTATAATGTACATACTACATAATATACTACTAACTACTTGAGTTCCGATCTTAGTTCTGGAGAAAAATCTAACAAAAACGTTTAAGAAAATATTTTATATTTGTTAAAAAATATTTATTTTAAATTCTAAACCGAGCAAAAAATTTATTGGTTTTACAGTAAATTATGTAGATATATTTTTATTTTTTTCAATCTGATTATACAGACTATTAAGATAATATTTTACTTTTTACTCGATATAACAGACCGTGCCAGTTTATAAATAAATATTTTCTATATAAAAAAAATATTTACAAATTTTCAATCTTCATTACATAAATACAAAATTATAATATTCGTTTTATCAAATATATTCTTAAAACCTGTGTGCACTTAAATGCATTTTGATTAAAATATGCAAAAATAAGCAAAAAAAAAAGAAAATTGTTCTATTTTTTTAGTATGAGCCAATTTGTAGACATAAGTGGCTTAACCGACCACCAATCTATTTGGACTAAAAGAAAAAAATAAAGTAATGCAGAGAAATCCTAGGCCAATTCATCACATTTTGGAGCAACATATTTATTCCAACCTTCAAATTTGAGGGTAGTTTAGTAAATTATTACAATATAGTTATATAACATAAGCTGTCCTTAGAAATAGGTGTTCTGATTCACCCATTTACATCGTTCAAAATTGCTTTTGGTATACAATGATTTACCATTGAATTATAAATGAACATATTAGCCATTACAGTGACAACCTACTCAGTGACGGGGAACCCTCAACACCTAGCAGATTAAGTATCTCGGTTTTTATTCTTCTATAATTTATAAAAAAAATGTAATCAAAGCTGCAAACAAATTTCTCTATACATAAGAAAAAGGAGAAGTAGGTATTGGATGTCCCATTCTCTATTGTCAAACATAAATAATTAAGACATTGGTATTTGATTATCTATTATCATACAACTAACAATTATACATTTAGAGGTAGTGCAAAAGATGACACATACATGGCCAGCTCTAAACTAACACTTTGCCCTGTGTGGCTGTGTCCACAGCACTGTCTATGTACAAATATAATGCAAAACAAATGTATATGTATAGTAGTTAATGTTTATTCATCTAACGATATTGTAGTTTACTTTCCATTTAGTACTTTTAAGTGGGTAATAGGTATATTATGAACTTAAAAATTATTATAGAGAATTTGAATATTATCAAGTGCCTGATAATCAAGAAGTTGTAAAGGACATGAAAACGCATCTATTAAGCCCTGTCCAGACTAAGAAACACGTGTTGTCATCGACCATATGTATGTTACCACTTATGACTTGAAATTAGAAACATTGTCGGGAGCACATGTTTCCAACAGATGTTTCTTTGGTCTGGATGGGGCTTTATGATTACAATATTAATATTATGTGATTTGTGTCAGTATGTAAATATGAATTATTGTTTATACATAATATGCAGTTACAACACATATACTTATATTTTATACTTTAATATTAAGAATTAATTGTATTACCGTATAAAATTCCAATAATGCAACAAGATATCTAATTAGTTATATTTTAATTACTTATGATTATTATTTTGAATAATTTAATATCTATTTTATATACCTGTATATTCTTTGTGTGAATTTTATTTTGTCACTTATCATAGTTCCTACACAAACATATCCATCTTTTCCTGCAGTTATCAATACAACACGATGATCAGATCTCACAAACCACAATGATTCAGATACAGCCACTGAATGCCATTCGAGGGAAACCATAGACATATTATCATTTGTGTTACAAATCACCAATTCACCTAAAAATTATGTTTGGAATCATAAATTTATTTCTTGTAGTAAGTGTTGCAAGTATAAACATAACACTAAGTATACCTAGAACCTAGTACAATAATCTTTATGGCGTAGGTAAAGGTGTCGTAAGCAATAAACATACTAAAGCATACCGATATCGTAATCAATCTACCAAAAAAATTTAAATACACACAAATTATTAAAGCAACCTTTGTTAAATATTAATTAATGAAAAAGTGTTACAAAAAATACGAACAAATAATTTAAAAAAAGACCTCAACATAAAAAATATTATTGTTACTAATACTATATTAATTAACCACATAAGGTTGCTTTTATATCATTTAGAAACCATCAATAATTGAATCCTTTGAATGTTTGATGGATTTATAGATATTCACTATACTTCTTGCATCCACCTTTCAAGTAAAGGAGAACCTTTATTGATACATATAGAACATATTTGTTTTGTAATACCATTCAATGTGCTGTGTTGCGTGTACCCAACTTACAGGAGGTGGTGTCAGGATAGGATGATGGTACAAGCGTCAAATGATCAACAATTTGTGGTTTGATGCAATATTTATTAAAATTGTAGAAAATAAAAGACAAATTGAATTTAAATTCTATTAGATTATTCAAATTAACGAAGAATACTAGTGCCTTAGAAAATAAACGATTGCTCGAATATTCTCTAAGTCCGAAATATGCTGTTAACAAAAATAATCTAAGTCAAAACGAGAAAAATTGTTACTACCAAGAACGAAAAGGTACAGGAGTGTGTACGTACGGTAGCTAAATCACGTCTGAATAATAGGCTGTTCCCAGGGCTCCTATCTCCTCTCTTACTAGATCCCTGGTGGACTGCTTCTTTGGTTCTCACAGTCCAGGGGGCCTTCCATAATTAGATAGTTGATTATTTTGTAGTGCGAACACTGACCTTTGACTTAGGGTTGCAGATGTGGCTTTAATTGATGCGGGGTATCGTTCTAATAAGTAGTATACCCGCGGCCCTAATATTGCTCTCCCAGGGTCTGTGTGTAATGCTGACATCATCTCAACTATCTATGTGTTACCGAAGTACAACGGATTCAGTGTATTATAACTATGTGTAGGGGCGGAGTAGAGGGGTCCGAACGTAGCAGCTGGGTGTGGGCTCCAATTTATGGGTCTATAAATTTAGCCTTAATAATTGTTAGCACAACAGATTGTAGATCATAAAAATAATGGTTAGATCGCTTACGACACCATTACCTCTTTATCAATGTGTGTTGAACAATTACTATAATACATATTTTGTTACAATACATTGTCACTATATGTCACAATTTTGAAGTAGACAACATTTTATTACATGAATTTATGGTTTAAATATTAATTTAAACGCTACATCCACGCATTGTCTTTGGCTTACAAACGAATAACATAGCAAATTGTATATTCTGAATAATCTATTTAACTCTGTAAAGAATTTATAATTAATATTGGAGTAAATTTAGATCTATTGTCAAATTTAGAAGTAAGTATATTATCTAGTAAATCTCATAGATATTTATTTTTTTATTTTAATTTTAAAGCAATTTATAAGTATTTTAAAATTGTGAATTGTTTGAGCATTTTAAAACACTCACAACTTGCTTTAAAATTAAAATCTAAAAAAAAACCTATGAGCTATACTAGATAATATTCTTTCTTATAACTTTGATAATAGGTCTATTCACTCAAATATTAATCATAACATAGCTAAATGGATTATTCAGAATGTACAGTTCGCCAAGTTAAGCGTTTGAAAGATGAAGACTGCGTATGTGGATGTAGAGTCCTTTTAAGTATATTTATCATAAGCACTTGAGCTGTACCATTGTATAATCCAGCTGTTATTAGATGTTCATTGGTTGGATGTGTAGCTAAACATGTGATACAAGATGTAACTTCCAGTATATTAGATACAGTACTGCCACTATTTTCTAAGCTGAATGTCAAATAGAACACATATTATAAAATTTATTATTCATTATAGGTACTATATACAAATATCAAATAGTAATCACTAATTTTCATAAAATTGGATACCAATACCAAAGTAATTTACTCACTCCAACATAGAATAAACAAATACTGAATTTAAATGATTACACCACTGTGTATGGCAATGTTCACCAGTAGCTACCATTAATTTATCTCCGCTACAATTCCAACTAATTGCACTGATATTTTTCTAAGAAATCAATTCAAAATTGTAGTAAATTGTTAATAATTAATACCATTCTAATATTATAAGTATGCCAATTAAACTTCATAAAAGAAAATTTAAATTTAAAATTCAATAAAATATTGATTTTTAAAATAATTGAATTAATATAGTACCTATGTGGGTAATAGCCATGGGCACAAATAGGGGAGCGGGCTGGAGGCTTAGCCTCCCCAAATGTACGCCTATAGTATTAGCTTTATCGATTCAAGTATGTATTAACTAAACTCAACACAACTAAAAATATTTGAGAATAATTTACTAAGGTGTTGTAACTAAAAATAGGTAACACTTTATCTTAAACTAATTTATTTAAGCTATTTCTAACAGCTTAGTCAAAATGATTTTTTATATTGCCAAATTCATATTATTTTATATTGATCATAATATTTTGAACTAAAGAAATAATATTACCATTAAAATACAGTTAATATTATACTATTATCTTTTACAGAAAACTATATTTGAGAAACTACAAGTGATTACCATTCCAAATGAAGGGTGTTGCCTTATAGATACTTTCATGGTTTTTTCATCATTTATATCTTTTTGAGTTGTCTCTAAATAATCAGGCATTTTTGGCCAGTCATTACATTCAGTTTTTAAGAGTCTTAAGCCTTTTTCCAAACAACTGTTTAATGCAACAAGATCGACATTTCTAATATCAATGTTTTCAATGGAATCAGTCTGCGTCTAAATCATTCAACAGTAAATAATATGTTGTGGAAAAATTGATGATAAATTTAACTAACATCTACAGTTTTCACATCAATGGTATCACATGATTTGTCTTCAGTGAACAGTCCATTATATTGATTTGATTTTTCAGCTTTTCTACTCAAACAAATAATTAAAAATAATTATAAAAAAATATTAAAGTAGCTTTTCAACATACCCTTTTCTATGCGTCTCAGTGTGGTTAAACCCAACTACATTCACTGGGCTGTCACTAAACATTGTACTTTACATAGGTATATTATACTGTCATAATTCCTGATATTTAATAAACAATAATGTTTATCTAGATATGTCAGTATAATTTAAAATAAAACCCTATAACAAATCAATGGAACAGTTGTGTAAGTTGTTACTATGGTGATCAAAATCATCACAATAATTGTTATTTGTTATTACTCTCTAGTCTCTACCTTTAATAATTGTTAAAAAAAAATGTCAATGAAATTATGTAATAAACATATTTGTAACAAACGCTCTCAAATCATATAATTACCCCCCAAAAAAAATTAACATAGATTCATACAATCATGCTCTATAATACATGAAAACCTACTCATGAATCATGTAGGTATGTACTTACTGCATAGGTAAATATTTTACAAATTTGTATTTTTGTTATACCTCTCATAGATAGGTATTAAACAATAAATTATAATTAGACAAATTCAACTATGGATAAACTAGGTAAAAGTTTCTACATAATACCTATGTAAATAAGTAGATACCAAGGTAGGTAGGTATATCAAATTTATTTTCTAATTTATATTTTTTTTTTCACCACATTTTATCGTTCAGATGTGTTTATTCTTTTAGTTAATATAGGTTCTATAAGTTAGTATGTTAGTACCTATCTAAGATATACCCATTATACATTATCTAAATGATATAATTCTGGCGAGAGGCTCGACTTTCTCAACTAATAATTGCAATAGTTGAACCTACTATAGTTCTTTTTTAGTTTCTAGGTACCTATATGTCTTTACACTTAAGAAATGACTAATGTGCCTGATTAAATTTGAAAAAACTAGATTAGTAACTAAGTTAAGTTAATTTTAACTTTTTATGATTTCATTTAATTAACTTAATTTTTAACGTAACTGATTTTTATTGATATAAACTTCATAAATAACGAGTTAATTTGAATTAAATCCAAGTTAAGATAATTTATAAATAATTAAATAATAAATATAGTACAATTATTATTGATGAATGATGATACATGTTGTGTAAACATTTACTATTTATTAGTTAAAATCATATTGGTGGCTATTTATAAATTAAAAAATAAACAAATAAATAACTTAACTTAAGTTAATAAGTTAATTGTAAGTTTCCATGTAACTTTTAAATTAACTGAGTTAAAAAAAATAGGGAAACTATTAACTAGCAAACTTTTTAAAATATTTTCCATCAACTTAACTTAACTCAATTAAAAATTATCATTAACTTGTCTAGTATTAACTACCTACTCACCACCTCATTAAGAGATCTTTCTCATAACTTATTTTTTCTTTATTAATTAGTTTACTGATATTATATACATGTATCCATGTATAATGTATATATAATACATAAATAATAAATATAATATAATATGTATGTAGTTAAATTATTGGATGCGTAATCCAATTTCCAATAAATTCGGTAATTTAAAATCAAATGATGTTAACCAATATAATATTTTGTCTATGTTTGTATCGTTAAATAAAATATATGAATCAACTACGATGGAGAAACCTAAATCACTTGTATAAATAACTGACATGTAAAATTATCCCAAAACTAAAATATCCCTGTAGACAAAAATATATTCCAGGATCAAATATTCTGTGTACCTACCTACCTAAATAATAATTCAACATTTTAAGCTTTAAGACTTTATTATAAAAGTAATTACAAGTTATAATGGTGCAAAAACACCACAGACAAAAATATTCCATGACAAAGTGTAATTACAATTATTATTATATTTATGCTTAGGTATGTACCTAAAATATCGTAAAGTTAATTAAAAAGTAAAAAGGTGGGTAAGTGGATGTCGCTCTGCTGTACAGTAGGTTACATGTGGGTCACTGTATAATGGATGCTATTAAATTTGAATTCAATGATACAATATTATTGAATAAGAAAAACGATTCTGAGCGAAGACGGTATGTCAGTCTAGGTTTGAGACATATTATATACATATCTATGGTATTAAAAAAAAAATTGACCTATAATAAATTCCAAATTAATCATATCACAATATCCATTAGGTACTTATAACACGTTATACATCAATAACAAACCCTGATACTATCATATATATAATATAGTGTAATTTAGAAGTTTCAAGTACCCATGAATAGTATTATACACTCACAACAAAATAACTAAAATAGGTACCTATGCTAGGTTTTTTAATATGTAATTTCGTCCCAAATTTGAACTTAAAATGTCTGTAAAAAATAACTGTGCTCATATATTTTTTAGATTTTTTGGCTACAGTATGAACTATTTATGAGAATCTTTTTTTTTAAATTTTCAATCCTTAGCTATAAAAACTGAACATTTATAATTTATTAATTACGATGATTGATAATTTTCGAGATTTTGATAAATTTTGTCAAAATGCAATCTTTAAATGCTTATAAAAAAAACTGTGCCTATGTATTTTTAATATTTTTCAATTGCTATTGTAACAATATATCAGGAGCCTTGTATTAATTTTTTACACTTTTTGGCCCAACAGAAAAAACTTTATTGATATTTATAGAAAAAAAAACTAAAAAAATTGAAAACTGAAAATGTCCGTAAAGGGCTCAAAAAGAGTCAAAATATTTTCAAAATTGTATGATGTATAGGAAATGCTAATATAATTCAGTGAAATTTTCATGTAGGTATCTACAGTTATTCGTTTTTGAATTACAACAAAATAAGGAAATCGCCACATGAGATATCGAGTGAATATCCAATGTTGTAAAAATTTGAATTTCAAACGCTCATAAAAATTAAATTTGACTTTCTTATAGAATTTTTTTTTTTGATAAATGTAGGAAATCTTATAAGGAATCTTGTATTACATTTTAATATCTTAGATTTAAAAAGAAAATTTTTTATGAATTTCTAACTCGAAATAATTTGCAAATTTTCGTGATTTTTCCATATTTTGTCATTTTTTGAACTTTAAATGCTTAAAAAAAAAACTGTGACTAACGATTTTTAATATTTTTTCATCTGTCTTTGAAACAATATAGTAGGAGCCTTGTATTAAATTTGCAAGTATTTTTACTCAACAAATAAATTTTTATTGATATTCATAAAAAAAAAAAACTAATAAAATTGGAAACTGAAAATGTCCCTAAACAGTTCAAAATAAATTAAAATATTTTGAAAATGTTATCGTGTATAGAAAATGCAAATATAAACAACTAGTGAAAATTTCATGTATATACGTTCATTTGTTTTAGAGTTACACCAAAAACTAAAATCGATTTTTTGGAAAACCGATTTTGCGTAAAAATTCCCGTTTTTCTTTAATTTTTATGTTGTTTTTCCCGCCGCTTGTGAAAAGTACTGGAAATTTTAAATTTTGACCTTCTCAATGCACCAACGGTATTCAATTTCCAATCGAACAAGATACTGAAGTCGAAAATTGAAGCATTATTTTGACTACTTATCGTGTACACAGACACAAAAAAAAAAAAAAAAAACACACATCATTGTAAAATCAATACATTCATCGTTCCACTCAGAATCTAGGAACGATTGAAGTTTGTAAACGTTATTATAACGGAAAGCGATAATCAAAAATAATGAATTGACCCAAAACAAAACAAAATATATTATATATATTATCATTAAACAAAACATGACGCAAAACGTAATTCATTGAATATCATTAAATGAAAATTAACCCTAAACGTCGTAATTTATAGAATATCATTGAACGAAAAATGACTCAAAACGAAATATTTTAAAATTTATTTGTTTAAAAGGTCTAATGCTAAATGCAGTGGATATTTTAACTTATATACTGGGGGACAGAAAAGTGGCCCAGAGAAAACTTTTTGTCGCCTAGTAGATGATATATTTAATTACTGGGCGACAACAATTTTTGTAAAAAATTCGATGTTTGAAATTATTATATAATTTTATTTATTGATTATTTATTATATTTAGTTTTGTTATTTATTTATGATGTATAGGTATCATTCCGTTTGACAAATAATTATTAAGAATGAAAAACCCATGTGATCGTTCACCGTAGCCCGTAGGTATCCATAGAATAATACAATGCAAGAAAGTGCGCACGCGACAATGCGACATGTTTCATCTGGTCGTCAGTCGTTCCGGCAAATATCTAGAAATTGATTGTTTTTGATTTGATTTTAGTACTTGTTCCTATAAGATATTAGCTAAATAGGTAATTATTTCAATTTGAACCTTTAAACAGTTTAAAGTGTTTAAACGCCCAAGCCTTCAAGGTACCACTGTACCAGGTTACCTAATACGTCATGTACGATACTACGACGACAGGACTTTCGGTACCTAATTGTAAAATAATTTAAAATCTAATATTTTATACTTGCAGGACTTATACTAAATACAGTACCTCTTCTCAATATAATATATTATACAAAATATTGCAAAATACAATAATCCTAAATTAAATATACCTATATATTCGCATAATATTTGATAATTTTGATACGTATAACTTATTAGATAGGTACCATTGGTTATAAATACTAGTAAAAATAGTAGTATTTATAATAAAATTTAATGGTATTGGTGTAATATTATTAATATTCGGTAAATTTCTATGAATAATCAATATAATAACTATTATTATAAATTATTATTTATTAATCAATATAATTAATACCGAACATTTTTTATAAGCTCATAATATGTTGCGTGAATTTTTTTTTTTAATGTCACCTAGTGATAATTCCTTAAAATATCCACTGGTCTAATGGTTTCGTAGAAAAATTTATTTCATCCAAACAATCTAAAAATTGATTATACTAATATATTCCGTATCCAGGCCATTACCTACCAGCAATAGTTATTATTTTTAAATTTAATAGGTATTAACACTATTTTAAATAACGATAAACTCAAAACTTGGATAACGTTTTAATTCTGAATAACGATCAACGTTGACTAAGTGACTAACGTTTTAATTCTAATTTCTAAATAATGATAAACTCAAAAATTGTGTCACGTTTTAATTA